TTTTTTTTGGTGGAACCGGGGATTGAACTCAGGGCCTTGCACTTGCCAGGGAAGCGCTCATTCCACTGAGCCATCTCCCCAGCCCCCCCAGCCTCCCCAGCCTCCATTTTGACTGTCGTAGCATACAAGTTGGTTTCTTCTTTCTTAGTCTTATTCTGTTTCCCCCACATGTTGCCCTTTGCCCCAGGTTTTCTATTCCCTTAGGGGAGGATCTACACAGTGTTCAGGGTCTCATTGCTAGATCAGACGCATAGTGATCTGCCTGTTTACAGCCTCCCAAGAGCTGGGATTACAGGGGCACACCATCATGTCCAGTCTCCATTCCATCGCCCTCTCAGGGCGCCTTAGGGGCAGGGCCGGCACAGCAGGCCCAGGGATTGAACCTGGGCCCTTGCACCTGCTTACAGGTGCTTTAATCCGCTGAGCTATTTGGCTCTCTCTCTCTCTCTCTCTCTCTCTCTCTCTCTCTCTCTCTCTTTCTCTCTCTCCCCCCCCCAACTCAGAGCGATTCTTCTGCCTCTGCCTCCTGAGTGCTGGGATTATAGGTGTGGCCCACTATGCACGGTGAAACCGGGACTTTTGCACTGAGCTACATCCCTAATGCGGTTTTTCTTTTCTTTTTTCTTTCTTTTTTTTCTTTAATTATATTTCCCTCGTTTTTTATTTGAGAAAGGGTAATGCCGAATCACCAAGTTGCAGAAACTGGGTTCAAACCTTCGTTCCGCCTGTCTCAGCCTCCCAGAGTGCTGAGATAACAATCATGTACCATTACCTGCCGGCTTGTGTGTTCAAGGGTCTTTTAGAGCACTTCTACTTTTGTCTCTAATTCCCGGCCTGGACTTTCAGCTTTGCTTAGTTATCTGTCTCCTCTAAGTCTCTCCGGCGTTATCTTCCTTCTCCACCTAGACAAGCTCTCTATCTTCTCCTGCCACCTTGTTCCAGTCCAGTACCAGGTGGGGGTTAGGGAAGAGACCGCCCAGTCCCCAAGAAGCCCCCGGGGGCGGGGCCAACTCTCTATTTGCATATGTATTGGACCGCAAGAGCCTGAGTCTAGGAGGCGGGGCTTCTGGGGTAGGAAAGGGGCGGGCACCCTCGGAGTCGCAGAGTATAAAGACCGAGCGCAGCGACCGCGGGACCCGCACTGCTGAGGAGCGGAGCCTCCGCCTGGGGGGCGCGTATTTCTGGCTGACTGTTCCCCAACTGCGCGTCCCTGCCCCACCCCCACGGCGGGGACCCCTGTGTTGTGGCGGTCTTTGCCTGGCGGAGGAGCTTCGAGCAGCCACCTGCCGCGTTCCACAGCTTCTTTGCATCTCGGATTTCGGGGCGACCCCCCTCCTTCTGTTCCTTCCTCTCGCATCCTGCTTTTTTCTTCTGTGTTTTGCTTGGATTTCGTAGCCGTCCGTTTTTGCGTCCCTTATTCGTTCTGCTTCTAGGTGCTTTGCAGAGTGAGGCTACATTCACACCCCTTCTTGTTATCGCCTCCTACTCTACAGCCCTTTACATCGCGGCGGGGGGCCTAAGATCCGAGCGCGTCTGCCGCGCTGCCAGCAGCCCGCAGCCCGCGGCCGTGCACCCCAGGATTTGCAGCAGCCGCCTCTCGCAGGGGGTCTCCTTCGTCCCTACTGCCTTCGCTTCCCGCGCGCCCCAGTGCGTGGCAGGCATCCGTGCGCGACTCCCCCGCTTCTCTGCAGCCCCCCGCCCCGCGCCGGGACTCGCCCCGCGCCGCCAAGATGGTCATCCAGAAAGAGAAGAAGAGCTGCGGGCAGGTGGTTGAGGAGTGGAAGGAGTTCGTGTGGAATCCGCGGACACACCAGTTTATGGGCCGCACCGGGACCAGCTGGGGTACAAGGGGCGAGCGCGAGGGGCGGGGAGGCCGCTGGGTGAGCCTGGGGGTGTAGGGTCTCGCGGGCGAGGCCCCAGCTCCCCTGCCAGGTCCTTGGCGTCCGGCCCCCCTGCCGGGCTCTGGACTAGGAGGGGACCGAATCACCGGTCTAATCTCCGGGGCTGGCCGCTGCGGAGGTGGAGAAAGTAGGTCACTGCCGCCTTCCCGCCCCCCGCGGAGCCCCCTCGGGCGCGGGGTCGCTGGCTTTGTGCGCGTGTCTGCGCTGATCTGGCTCTCGCCTGGGGGCCAGTCGATGCACATGGTCACCCCCCACCTCTAGAGAGTACCCCTTCCCTCCCTCCGCTCCCTCTAGCTTGCCAACCCGGTCTATTTTTAGCTGGTGCCCACCCCCTGGACCCTGGGAACATTCATGAGGGGGCGGGTCTGGAAGGGGGTTGCTGGGGGGGTTCTTCACAGCGGAAGTCGTTTGTCTATATCCCACCATTAGGCATTTGCAACCTTCTGTGACTGCTTTTTTGGGTGGGGGTGCTGTTGCAGAGAGATGATACCGTGAGGTTTTCAGGGCTGGATCTTCTACTGAGACATCCCTGGCCCAGGGAGGAGTGGTCAGTGTGGTGAGATGGGAACATCACCAGGCCGGGTGTGTCCAAGGGACTCTAATGGCTTGGGACTTGGGGAGCAGAGGGACCTGTATGTGGTTAGGGAGATCCCTGATGGGCACAGGTGCAGGTGAGGAGTAGAATTCTTCCCAAAGAGATTGTCAAACTGGAGAGTCAAAGTGCAGGATACACTGTGTGACACAATTTACAATTTATCCACACGGATTGGACAGAATCCCCATCAGTCCATCCACTAGGGTCCTGTACAATCCTTATCCTCAGGGATCCGTGAATACTTGGGGCAATCCAAAGGCTGGGTGGAGGAAGTGTCTTCTGAGGTGTAAGGTCCAGGGTAGTGGGAACAGCAGGCCCTCATATGAGGCTGAGAGAAAGAAGTGAAGGAGAGCTAGGTGGTGGCAAGATGGTAGCTAGGGAGGGAGGTGGGGATTGTTTTCTCATTTGTGTGTATGAGTTGCCGGTGGGGTGGGTGCTGAAATTCTGACAACTGTCTTAGAGTCTGTATCTAGGACAGTGTTTTAGGCCTTTTATATCTGAAAGTGCTTTCAAGGTTTAGCTTCTATGGAGCATCAGGATAGAGATCTATTTGAGTCTTAGCTTCTGGCTCTGTAGGGGGTGGGTTCTGCTCTGAGTAGTAGTCAGTATCACCTGAAGAACTCATTGCAGAAGCCAGTTGTAGGGATGTATACCTGGAATCGCAGCACCAGAGAGGCCGAGGCAATATTACTTAGAGTTAAGGCCAGCATGGGGTACATAGTGATTTCAAGGCCAGCCAGAATTACGGAGACCCTACCTCAAAAAAGTGAAAAACAAACATTACATTCTTAGTGTGCACAGCTCCTGAATTTCATCCTCAACACCATCACACACAGAAAAGGTACTGCTCTAGGACAACTTTAAGGATGAGTATCATTACAACAGTGGCAGATGTTGTAACTTTGCAGGACCATGCGTGCTTGAGAAGTAAGAAATGTAATTAGAAGCAAAATGACATCAGACTATTCTTGGGGTTGTCCCAGCAATGAGAGTTTAGGTCTCCTGTAAGGTTGGGTCTCACTGTGGCCTAACGTTGGGAGGAGACTGGGAGTCATGATTATTAGCTTGGATACACTGCCTGTTTCTAGTTTGTTTTTCTTGGCTCCCTGGGGACAGCTCTAAGATATCCTGTGGCTGTAAGGCTCACACCAGTATAGAACTTCTGAATAGGAAGGGGGTGAGTGGGGTTAGGTGAGGTCATGGCAGGAAACTTAGAACCTGCTGACACTGTTTCCTCCTCCCTAGCCTTCATTCTCCTTTTCTACCTCGTCTTCTATGGCTTCCTTACGGCCATGTTCACCCTTACAATGTGGGTGATGTTGCAGACTGTCTCTGACCACACCCCCAAGTACCAGGACCGCCTGGCTACACCAGGTGAGTGATGAGATTTCCTGTAACAGCCACTCTTGACTGCCACTCTTGCCCATCCCCAACCTTCCAAAGGAACTCAGTTCTTTGCAGGAGTTTGGTTCTGATGATCCAATTGCCATGTGCTAGAAAGTTCTAGAAGTCTCCCCACATCCCAAAGCTGAGAACTGTGTGATCCAGGGGGGTGGCAGATACTTGTAGGAGGCTGCCCTCCTATAAAGACAATTTCAGATTTCACTCCATACCTCACCCTAGTGTTCTCATTTCCTTTGTGTGTGGCCTCTCATCTTAAACATACCCCCTATTACTACGCATGTCGGCTACAGGCTTGATGATTCGTCCTAAGACTGAGAATCTTGATGTTATTGTCAACATCAGTGACACTGAAAGCTGGGATCAGCATGTACAGAAGCTCAACAAGTTCTTGGAGCGTGAGTGAGAGGCTGGCTGTGTGCCAGTCGAGGACTGTGGGAGGGGGATTTGGAACCATGGAAGTGGAACACCAGGACCGTGACTCTCTGTCTTCTGACTCCTTAGCTTACAACGACTCCATCCAAGCCCAAAAGAATGATGTCTGCCGTCCGGGACGCTATTATGAGCAGCCAGATAATGGGGTTCTTAACTACCCAAAACGTGCCTGCCAATTCAATCGGACCCAGCTGGGCAACTGCTCTGGTATAGGGGACCCCACCTACTATGGTTACAGCACTGGGCAGCCCTGTGTCTTCATCAAGATGAACAGAGTACGCATGACTCCCCAGGGAAAATGGAGGAGGGAGCTGGGGCCACCATCTGTTGACTGTTGTGTCCTTCCACTGGGGTTAATGGGCATTAGAGAGGTTTTTGATAGTTTGAATAGCTGAGAGAACAAGAGGTGGGGCTATTGGTGGCTAAACTCTGTAGCTAGAGAGCTGGATGCCTGTGGTGTGACAACTCCCACTCTCTCCAACCTTCCTCCTCACTCTAGGTTATCAACTTCTATGCAGGAGCAAACCAGAGCATGAATGTTACCTGTGCTGGCAAGGTGAGTTTATGGGTCTTGTCCACTCCTTGTCCTTCAGTTTCTGTGTGATTCATACATCTCTCCATATTTTTTTTTTTTTGCTCCCAGAGGCCCCAACACTATAGGGACAAGGGGGTAAGAGTGGGCTTGGGTGTAGCTTGAACTCCAACAGGAGCTGTCAGCCCCTTGCTTTCTAGGATGCAAAACTACTTCCATGGACACAGATCCACCCTTCTGCCGCCAAAGCCCTGGCCTCTGGCTTCTCCCCACTAAGCCTTCCACCTTTTCCTTTATTCTCCAGTTGTCCATACCTCCTGCTCTCCCTCACATTTTACTCCTGTATCTCAGCTCATTTTAGGCATCTAGTAGTTGCTGATCTCTTAGCACCATTCACCACCCATACGTTATCATTGGAGTCCTGCTGCTTCCACTCTGTCTTCTTTAGCAACTTGCTGCCATCCCATCTCCCTGCTGCTTTTCCCTCCTGAGCCTTACTGTTTATCTGTTCTCTCTTGGCTCTGCTCCAGAGACCGATTCCCAAGGATGGGGTAAGCACTTTGGGTAGTGATGGGATAGGAGGCGCCTCATGTTCTTAACCTCTTTAGGGATGAGGCAGGGCACCCCCTTCTAATGACACACACACACACACACACACACACACACACACACAGAGCTCAAGGGAAATAGATTTGAGAACAAGAATAATTTTGGGCAAATGAAGCACAAAGCGAAGTCTGGTGAGCTCCTGGTGCCTACCTTTCCTAATGTTCATTCCTTGCCTTTCTGCACTTCCACAGCGAGATGAAGATGCTGAGAATCTTGGCCATTTTGTCATGTTCCCTGCCAATGGCAACATCGACCTTATGTACTTCCCCTACTATGGCAAAAAGTTCCACGTAAGTCCCATGGGAGGCCTGGGATTGATGAGTCCTAGAGGAGCAAGCTGAGGTTCTTGGGAAGGAGGCTGAGCTGCTCCAGGCCTAGAGCCTTGTCCTCATCCTCTGGTCCAGGTGAACTACACGCAGCCTCTGGTGGCCGTGAAGTTCCTGAATGTGACCCCCAATGTGGAGGTGAACGTGGAATGCCGTATCAACGCTGCCAATATCGCCACAGATGATGAGCGAGACAAGTTCGCTGGCCGTGTGGCCTTCAAACTCCGCATCAACAAAACCTGAGGTCCCCTTTCTCTTGCCCCGATCTCTCTCCCATGGATGCTTCTGGAATGTCTCTGACCCTGCCTGATCCCTCCCTCACCCACCCCAAAGGTATTTTTTATAACAGAGCTATGACTTGTCCAGTCTCACGCCCTTTTCCTTGACTTCTCAAACCAGCCTGATGTCCACTGTGATTCCCTGACTGCCCATGTTTTCTGCCATCTTGTCCCATACTAAGCTCATCCAGAGATAGAGATGGGCTACTCAAATGGCCACAGAGGATTTAGGAGTCTTTCTAGCTCTGGTTTAGCTGTCAGTGGGATGTCCCTACAGCCCCCACTTCTTCTGCCCCATCTTCTGAGAGCTACAAAATATGCCCACTTACCCAGCCAGTACACACAATCCTCACTTCAGCCCTTTGCTTCCCAGAAATGAATATAGTATTCCCTTCTTCTAGTCTTAAGCTCCAGCCATTGTACCTTTTCTCACTGTTACACTTTCTCCTTGTCTTTGCAGTGCTTATCTTGCTGGCTTTGACTTCTGTGGTTCCTCCAGATTTTAACTCCTTTTCCCCCATCTTTATTTTGTTTTCTGGAAAGCAGCCATTTGTAATAGAGAACAAGTTGATTCCGTGGCCTTTATCCTCCCCCTATGGTGACTCCATGAGCTGGGAAATGAAGGAATGAAAGAGAAGTCCTGTTGATTCTTCTAGAAAGTTCTGTAGCGGCTCCTGACTCCAATTTCTTCTTGGTCTTTCTGTCATCCAAAGAGCCACTACTCAGAGAGAGGCGGGCTTGACCTAGGCTGAATATCCACTTTGTTTTTACCAATGGCTCCCTTCCCCCATTTGCCTTCCCAGAATATCCTTCAAGTTCCACTTCCCAGGGAGCCTTGGGGGAGGGGCAGCCATCTTGGCTCTGTCCCCAGTGGCCACCTTGGAGACATCAGCTGGCTGGGGAACTAGTCCACCTCCTTCTGAGCCCAGATCTGCCCCCACCATCCTCTCACTGGGTTCTCCTAGCAAGTAACCAACTGATCGTTAACTTCTTCCCTGTACTCTGCATGTCAGCCTGAAAGTTTCAAATACTCCTCTCAATCTATGCTCTGAATTTCTTGGCTCCATTTCTTTCAGACCTTTTTGCCTTTAAAAAAAAAACTAAATGCCCATAGAATGTTAAATGAGGGGCCTCCTGTTCTGAATATTCTTTAGTTATAGAAGCATTTTAACTCTTTCTTCTCTGGTTTCCCTTCTTGGCCTCACCCTCTGCAACTTCCTTTTTATTAATGCTGCAGCCTCCACGCTCCACCTACAAATGGAATCTTTCCTTTTGCTGGATCTGTATCTCTTCCTTCTGGGTCCCCATGTTTTCCTGCACTGCCCTCTCCCCAGTGATTTCTTTGCAGTTATTTAATGCCTGTGTCAGATCTGAGAAAAAAAAAAAAAAAAAAGATAAAGTACAATAAAATGAGAGTAATTATATATATAAATATATATCATACACAGAACTCTGTGTGCGGGTTGTTCCTTTCGGAGCATTTGGAAGAACCCAAGGAATTGGATGCAGGGTGGATGTGGGTGATCTGGGGGTTACTTGGGCCTTAAGGGGCTCCCTCTCCAGCTTTGACCTCTTCAGAGTCCAAGCATCCAACTACTTCATCTCAACTAATTTAATATGCACTATCTTAAGATCACTTAATACAAGGGAGGCAGGAAGGCTACATATATTTGTACATTGAGAGACTTATAAAGGACCTACTGTGTGCATTCTAGGCACCATGAGGATATACTTAAGAAAAACACAGAGTTCCTGATCCAAGGAGCTTCCCCAGTTTAACAAGACAGGTGAGGAGCACACAAGACACTCTCCTACAAGGTAGATCCAGGGGAGAACCAGCAGTAATAAAATTTAGGATTGCCCATACTTTCTGTTGGGGGTTTCTAAGGGAAGGTTTCTTTTTTCTTTCCTTTCTTCCTTTTTTTCTGCCTCCCTTTTTCTTTCCTATACAAGAACCAGAAGCACTTTATCACTGACCTCCAGCTTTTTAAAATTGGGACAAAGTCTTGCTAGATTGCACAGGTGGGACTCAAACTTGCAATCTTCCTGTCTCAGCCTTCCAGGGCTGAGATGTCTGCACATCTCACCTGGCTGGGACACTTCAGGAGGCAGCATTTTAAGCTGGGATTTAAAGGATGGCATGGTTTGGGAAAGAACAGTGTTCACAGATGCTTAAGAGACAGAAAAGTGAACAAGGAGAAACAGACTTCAAAACAAGTTAGGACCTTCAGTATTCTAATGTTATGTAAATACAGAAGCATAGGAATAAATAACATTATGATATATAGGGGAGAGACTTTTTTTGTGTGGGACTGGCACAGCATATGGCACCAGGGATCAAACTGCTGTCCCTGCGCGCTTGCCTAAGCAGGCGCTTTGGACCACTGAGCTATCTCGTCGGACCAAGGGGAGAGACTGTGGGTAGCTCATTAAGATTTTATTTTGAGAACTTGTTTTTTGCTTGTTATTGCAATGAGTTGGTCTTAGGATTTGCTTTGAAAAATAACTTTGCATACACAATTTCATCATGAAGGCATAGTAGATACATACACGCACATACCATAAGGATCCTTGGATTTTCAGAATCAACCCCCAATATCACACACACACACACACACACACACACACACACACACACACACTATTATGCACCTATTAAAAGTAACTTGACACTTTACCAGATGAGATACTGGTACATGGAAATTACTGAACAAAGTTCCACAAATTTGTGTGTAATATCCAATTTTCTCTGGAAAATAGTAAGTGATCTTGATAAAATAACAATTGCATTTTCTGACAGCGTCAGGTCCATTCTAATTTTAAAAGAACTATTGCCTATTCTTTTTTTTTTATTTATTTTTTTACTATTGCCTGTTCTTGAGCACTTTCTCTCTCTCTGTTTCTCGGGCACTTTCTCTGTCTCTCTCTGAGTTTGATAGGGTCACACTATATAGTCCAGGCTGGCCTCAAAGTTATGGTGATTCTTCTGCTTCAGTCTCCTGGGTACTGGAATTACAGGAGTGTGTTACCATGCCCAGCTTCCAGGCACTATTCTTTTCAGAAAATTTATGGTAACTTTGACTAGGGGATGTAATTCAGTGGTAGAGTATGTGTGTAGCAGTTGGGAGGTCCTGGGGTCAATCTCTAGCATCCCTTTCCCATTATGAATACAAAAAGGGAAGAAAGGACCAGCGAGATAGTGGACTAAGCACCTGCTTAGGCAAGCACAGGGGTTGGGTTCAATCTCCGCACCACAGGCCAAGTCGGTCCCACCCCTGGACACACTGAGCTGGCCACCAAGACTGGATGTGGTGGTACATGCTTATAATCCCAGCACTGGAGATGCTGAAAACGAGTGGCTCACTAAAAGTCTGAGCTGTGTACTGAGATCCTGTACCAAATACATTAAAAAAAAAAAAAGGGCAGTTTTTTTCCCCCCAAATCAGTAATTTCTTTTTTTTTTTTAAATTTTAGGGAAGGGTCTACAGGGTGTTCAGGGTCTTGCTACTAGATCAGATTCATAGTGATCTGCCTGTTTACAGCCTCCCAAGAGCTGAGATTACAGGCAAGTGCCACCAAGACCAGTCTCAATTGCCATGTCAGTGGTCCCTGGAGGCAGGGCCAGCACAGCAGACCTGGGGATCGAACCCCTAGCCCCTGAGCCTGCTTGCAGGTGCTTTAATCTGCTGAGCTATTTGGCTGGCCCTAGTAATTTTATTTTCTTTTTTTTTGGCGGTACTGGGGATTGAACTCAGGCCCTTGCACTTGCCAGGGAAGTGCTTATTCCACTGAGCTATATTCCTGGCCCCTAGCTTTTCTTTTTTTTTTGTACCAGAAATCAAACTCAGGGTCTCAAGCTTGCCAGGCATGTGCTGGGCTGCTGAGCTATATCCCCAGCCCTTGAACTCGACTTCTTTGCAAAGAACTATGTCCCAGGCCAGCTGGACTTGAATTTTGTTTCTACTGTCTCACCATGCAGCAGCATTGGAATTACAAGTATGAACTCATGGCCTCTTTTTTGTGTGTTTTTCAGAGTCTTGCTATGCAGTTCAGGCTGACCTTGAATTCAGTGCTTCTGGGGATCCACCTGTCTCAGCCTCCCAAATGCTAGAACTATATGTGTGCAAAAACCTTTTTTTTTTTTTTAAAAGATAGTATCTTACTGTGTTGTTCACACTGGCTTTGAACTCATGTGCTCAAGGAGACCTGCCCCACAGCTGGGACTACAGGTATACTTGGTTTATACAATGTTATCTCATTGTGTATCCTGAAGATAAGGGGCCAGAGCTGGGGCTGAGTGGTAGAGCGTTTGCCCATTCTGAATATGTATTTTTTTGGGGTCAGTTATACCCTAATAGGCTGAGACAAAACATTTTTAAAAGACAAGGGAGCTCTTCAAAGTGTTCTATAAATAGGAGCAAGAGAGACAGTCACCAGTGCTCTGATTTGTCGGGTGGTTGGAGAAATGACTGCTAAGTCTCTGGGCTTGGGTGTAGTTCAGTGGTAGAACACTTAGTGAATGTGAGGCCCTGGGTTCCATCTCCAGCCAGCAAAGCCAAAGGGGAGGGGGAGAGCTCTGAAAGAGATGGATTTGGGCCTCGCAGGAGGACATTTGGCCTTCTCTCATAAGCAAGAACAAAGATGGTCTTCTCAACTGTCAAGGACCTTGGGGCAGGGCAGAGGGCTCCCACTGGCACTTTAAGCCTAGTTGATATAAACCTAGGTTGAGGACAGTGACCCAAAGTCCCTGTGGATCTTGGGACCTCTCTCCATCACTGTGGAGGCAGTAGGCCAAGACATTTGCCCACTGACTGGTCATTCCTGTGGGCACTGGCTTAGGCAGCAGCAGGGAATGGGGGAGCCTGGCCCCAGCCCCCTCCCTGGGAGCCAGCAGCACTAAGGAACTGGCTGGGCAGGGGGTGCTGGGATCCCCAACCCCAACTCTCCTCCCCACCCCAAGAAGCCCTTTCAAAGGTTTTCCTGGCACAGCGTAAAGCTTCAATTCATTCACCCGCCTGGCACAAGGCCCGGGACAAAGGGATGCTGGGAAGGCCCCAGCCCTTACCTTAGCTGCCCCCAGTTTCCTGGGACCCCAGCTGGCAGACCTCCTACTGGCCTCTTCCCACAGCAGCACCCACCCCTCTCCTTGGGAACACAGGTACCCTGCCCCTTCCCTGTGGAGCAGATGGCCACCCCAGAGGCTCAGGCTTGCTAAATCAGACATTTAAATCCCCTAATCCTTGGTGAGCGGCTGCCTAGGGACAGCAGCCCAACCCTAGAAGCAGGGGTGGGCAAGAACTTTGGGTCAGCCCTGGCAGGAGGGGAGGAGGGACAGTTGGTTCCTGAGTTATGAATGGAGTCACCGTCTCCCTTCTTGTCATGCAGCCCACAAACTGACCCAGTCCCCAGCCTTTGTTCCCCTGCTGGAAGCTGGGTGCCAGCCCCCCAGCCCACACTGCCTAGTGACTCAGGTGGCTGCCTCCCAACTTCAACTCCTACTCATCCCTGCACCTGGGGGCCCAAGCAGCCTGTGCTGGCACCCACTCCCCAAACACACAGGTGATAGCAAAGTTTTATTGTAAAATAAGAAACTGATACAAAAAGGGGATATAAAAAGGGACGTGTGAAGGTGGTTAAGTATAGATGTGCCTTGCAGAGTGCAAAAGAAATTGACCCTGAGCATGTAGGGGAAGTACAATGAGTTTTGGTGGATACAGACCCTCTGGGAGCTGGAGCTAGAATCCTGCAGGGTGTGAAGGGGGAGACTTCCTTCCTGGTGCCAAGGTTCAGCATGAGATTGGAGTACATCTGGCAGTGGCTGCTGACCTTTAGCCAGCATCCTAACCTTGGAAACTGTGCACCCAGCCCCCATGTAATAAAGGATGTCAAGATTGGACATATGTTCTTGCATCGGCCCTCACAACAATCCCGGGAGGTAGCGATGGTGATCAACATTTCATAGATGAGGGCATTCAAGTTAGGAGAAAGGAAATAACTGGCCACAGCTTCTCTGGTGAGCTCAGTTGGAGAACTGGGCTTCCAGTCAGGCATATGGCTGGTTGTACACTCTGATCCTTATATGCAAGAATGTTTTCTTCCCTCTCCTAATTCTCCCCACAGTTAAAACCTTAAAAACTCAGCTGGTACATCGTAGCGCCCACTATCCCCCCACCAAAAAAATGGTACAGGCCAACTTCTTGTGTGGTGTCCAGGCAAGGCAAATGGCAGAACTCCTGGGCATTTCTGGGCACACCTACACCAGGAAGGGATTCAAGCACCAGAGTTCCAAATCCCAGGGAAAGAACAGGGTGGGGGCCAGGGTATGTGATTGATAAGGGAGAAGAGGCAAAAAATGTCAGTCTGAATCAGGTCCTTCTCTCTTGCACATTAGTTTTTTATGACAGGAGGTAGACTGCCCCTTCTTAGATTTCAGGTAGCTGTAGAGACAGAAAAGAGAAAAAGAAGAGATGATGTAAAAGGGTGAGGACAAGGCCTAGAAAAATCTAAGGCTGGAGTGGGAATTTCATTTAATGTGGTTACCAGCACCTGTAGATATGCTCACTAAATATTTCTATCAATCTCTTCATCTTCCCTTACCCCAGTTTATAAATAAGGAAATAGAGCCCAAAGGGAGAAATGTCGCTCATACCTGTGAGTGCTTGGCAAGGCTGCAGGACCCTGATATAGAAAGTGGCTGTGTGTCACGACCAGAGGAACACTAAAGGGGCCTTGAGCAGGACAGGTTTGCTGCCCGTTATTTTGAAGTAGGGGTTGGGGGGATTCCTCAGGCTATTCACCTGGAGTGAGGCCTGCTCTCTCCTTGCTCCTTCTCAGTTTGGGCATCCTTGAGTTCCAAGGCCTCGTTCAGCTCTCGGAACATCTCAAAGCGTTCACGCCCACGGACCTGCAACAAGGTGAAAGGGGACACAGAAATATCAGGCAAAATTGTCTAACTATTTTCATGTTTTCCTTAACATTTTCCTTTTTGAAAGGTGGTCCTCTAAATATCTACGTGGACCTGAACTTACAATGGCTTGACCTATGACTTTTTGATTTCACAATAGCGTGAGAGTAAGAGACACTGAACAGAAAGTTTACATTGAATTTAGATCTTTCCCAGGTTAGTAATATGCAGTATGGTACTCTGTCTTGGTGTTGGGCAGCAGTAGCAAGTTGCAGCTCCCTGTGAGGCACAAGATCATGAGGGGGACAGGCTGCACCATGCACTGTGTGGCTAAGCTGTGATATTTGGTAGGTTAGGTGGGTTAGATCCACCTTCTGGGTGGTGCTAGGGATACAACCCAGGACCCTATACTATGTGAATGCCAGGAAAGTACTCTACCATAGCATTTCCTGCACTTTTTTTCTTTTTTTGGCACAACTGGGGATTGAACTCAGGCCCTTGCATTTGCCAGGGAAGCACTTATTCCATTGAGTCATCTCCCCAGCCCTCTTCCCTGTACTTTTCACTTATACTTTTAACTCAGGATGGTTTAACTGGAATATGATCCTGTCTTAGGTGGAGGAAGGCTTGTATTATGGTCCACATTGGCATTTTCAAGTTACATTGTTATACAAGGAGACCCTGCCCAGCATCCTTGGAGCAACACTGCCCCTGATGGTAAATGTCCTAATTGTAGGCAAAGCAGCCAAAAAGATGACAGATGTTAGACTTAGGGTGGGCCAGATAGCTCAGCAGATTAAGAGATCAGGTTTGATCCCTGGCATGCTGTGCCGGTCCTGCCCTGGGGGTGCGCTGAGACTGTGACTGAGACTGGGTGGAAAATGGGAGGATCACTGAGTCTGATCTATGTAGTAAGACCCTGTACTAAATACATAAAAATAAGTAAGTAAATAGATAAATGTTAGACTTTACATTTTCTCCTTTTCTTTAAAAAATGTATTTGGTATAGGGTCTCACTATGCAGCTTGGACTTGTAGTGATCCTCTGGTTTTCAGCCTCCCCAGTGCTAGGTTTACAGGCGTGTGCCACCACACCTGGTCTCACAGGCTTAGTGTGCCAAGGGATGGGAAAAGCATGTGGTGCTGGGGATCGAATCCCTGTCCCTGTGATTGCCTAAGGCCCTAGACTTCACATTTTCAATCTGATTGTATTAACTTTACAGGAGTGGGCCCAGGGAGATGGCTCAGTAGAATAAGTGCTTCCCTGGCAAGCACAAGGGCCTGAGTTCAATCCCCGATTCTGAAACAAAAAACAAAAACAAAAAAAAAACAAAACTTTACAGGAGCATGATGGGTATAGTTTTTCCCTCATTGCATTTAATTTATATAAGACTACTGTATCTCCCCCAGACTTGGTACCTTAAGGGTGAAGTATTCTCCATCCAGTGGTTTCTTCTTTGGCTGTGGAGAGGAGCTGGTTGTGGGGGGCAGTGCTGCAAAAGAGATAAGGAAAGAAGTGGATATGGGGCAGAACTGCCCCTCTTTGTCCTCCAACTCCTCTTGTTCTACCTGCTTACCTCGCTTAATGCTTCCTGGGGTTGGTTCAGAGCATGAACCTCCTTTCTTGCGGAAATTTTCTTCCTCTGTGCGGCGGTCTCTCCCAGGACAGGCACAAACACGCACTTCAAAGCTGTTCCGCCCCAGCAGTTTCCCACTAGCCAGGAAGAGGAGAGAGAAGTAGAAGGTGGTGAGGCCTACTTGCCTCATCTGCTTCCAACTGCTCTTGTCCTGCATGGTGTCTAAGCTCCAGCTTCAGGGACACCAGGGAGTAGCCACAGGTTAAAAAAATAAAAGGCCTCAAAGCCAGAAAAAAAGAAAATAGAGGGATGGCAGCTGAGGAGATTCTACTCATGGGCATGGTTTGAGACCTAAGGATGAAGAGCAGGGTCCAGGAAACGGGCAGGCAGAGGGTGGGGAGGAGCATGCTGGTGTGAAGAGGCCTACCTGGAGTCTTCCAGTGTGATAATGGTGAGGATGGGCCTCCGGTTCATGCCCCCCATGCACGAGCTGTTGCACATATAATTGTAGTGGATGGTGGTACAGTCAGAGCCAACCTAGGGGAAGACACAGGTCTCAAGTGAAGCCAACCTGACTTGGGGAAATCAGCAGCAACTAGGGAGGCCGGTAGCCTCTGCAAGCTTGTTGTTTCTTTAGCTGAGAAATGAAGGTGATAACCCACTGGCTCTGTACCACGCACAGGCTTGTGGTGGTGTGGAATGGGCACTCTACTTAGTGGTAGAGTGGGCACAGGATCATGAGGGGACCAGTATTCTATTGTGCTGACCATGCCTAGCATGTATGAAGTCCTAGGTTCCATCCCTAACTCCAACTAAAACTTCTAACAAACAAACAAAACAAAAAAGGAAGGGAAGTTCTCTATTGCCCCCTCAGTGCCAATGATAAATCTCTTTCAGCCCCCTGATATCCTCCTCCCAGAGATCCCAGAGGCCAAATCCAACCTCAGGCGGCTCATAGGGCACCACCACACTATGGCGGAAAGTGGTTCTGTCGTCCAAATATTCTGCATGCAGATTTCCTTCCACCCGGATGAGATGCTGAGGTGGGGCCAGGCCTGAGAACAACCAGGGACAAATCAGATGTTGGGGACCTGGGCAGCCAGCTCTGTCCATTTTCCAGTCCTTGACCACTCACCATCACTATCGGAGCAGCGCTCATGATGGGGGCAGCGTCTTACAACTTCTGTCATGTGCTGTGATTTTTTGTAGATGGCCAGGGCTCGGACTCGGGTGCCAGGTGGTGGTGGTGATTCAACCCATACCTGTACAGGGCAGGTCTTTGCCAGCTGGCAGAACAGCTTGTTAAGGTCAGGGGAGTACTATAGGAAAAGGAAGAAGAATCAAAGGTCAGAGGACCCATGCATGAAACAAGGGAAAAGGGGATCATATGAACAAACCCAGGGTGGGGTAGCTAGAGTTGGGATCTAATTGTCAGCTTTTTTTGGTGTGGGACCTTGCGCTTGCCAGGCAGGTGCTTGTGCCACTGAGCTATACCCCCCAGGCCCACCAGACGCTTACTTTTCCTCTTTTTTGTTTTGTTTTTGGGGGACAAAGTCTCATTATGTTGCCCAAGCTGGCCTCAAACTCCTGGGCTCAAGGGATCCTCCTGTCTCAGCCAGAGTAGCTGGGGGAAAGAAAAAATTCCCTGTCCTAAGGAGAGATGCTGAAAGTAGAATGGGAAAAGTGAAAGCCCAAGGTTAACAGAGAAAATTCCATTGTGGGATAGAGGTCAAAGTTTACAGACTAAATGAATAGAACCTAAGCAAGACCCTTAAGAAGCCAAAGACTGAAGAAGAATCCCCAAGTTCTAGACAGAAAAATCCAGGGGGGTTATGGGTAGGCTTTGAAAGGTCACATGGAAGCCAGCTCCTCTGGGTTACTAACCGTGCATGTGACAGACTTGGCTGTCCCAGACTGAAGGAAGCCCAGGCGGAAGCCATAGTTGCCATGGTAAGGCTTATGAGAGGGGACTGAGGATGACAGAGGCCAGGAAGTGGCTGGTACAGGGGCTGCTGGGGCAGGGGCCACTGGTGTTGGGGGCTGTGGTACAGGAGCTGCTGACACTTGTATATCTTCATCTGGGTTTTCTTCCAGCCAATTTACAACATCTGGGAGCAGCAGATCATCCATGGTCGAGGGCAGTGAGCTGGACTGTGGGAAATAAGAATCCTAAGATTGGGTTCCCCATCCACAGGTCCCCCAAGTATCCAGACCTCCCCACTTCTGTCCTTACCAGAACGTTGTTATCAGGAAGTCTGAAAAACAAGAGCAGAAAGTCAGTACTAGTGGTTTTTGCTTCTTTCAGGCCTCTGCCAGGGGCATGGGGACTGGGGTGGAGATGGTGACCCTACAGGGGACTGGGCATTGAGTCAGTCCTTCCCATGAAATCCACTCACAGTTTCCATAAGTCTGAAAATGTCTCCTGACTCAGTGGAGGCTCGAGGCTGAGATCGGACTGTGGCTCCTCCATGGCAGCAGCTGGGAAGGCTGCTATGAGGGGAAAAAGGAGGACTGGGTGTGAGACACATCCCACCCTAGGTCTGAGACCTGGGGTAGGGGAGGGTACGCGACGGGAGTTCCCGGGAAGCAAGAACAGGCATGTTCTGCCTTCTCTCAAGGGTGCCCCTGCCCCACTTCTCCGTACTGGAATGCTACCCACTCCAAGAAAAAGTTAACCAGTGGGAGGTGTGGCTCAGCACTACAGCCCTTGCCTGGCATGTACAATGCTCAACAGGAACAAAAACTAGAAAACTCAAACAAATAAAACCCCAGTACCCCCCAAAAGAAAAAGATAACCAGAAAGAAGCTTCCAATCTCCCCATGACCAAATCCATAAACCTTCCAAATCCACAATGTGTTTCTGCTCTTTCTGGTTAAAAAGAATGCAGTTGCTTCTAGCCCACTCCTGTCCCCACTAGGAATCTCTAGCTCTTGGATCCCCCTTACTGCCAATCTTCTTCAAGAGTAACAGTCTAACCCCCTCCATTCCCTTGGGATTGCTCTCCCCTTTACAAATTCCCAGGATCAGCCCCTTCATTGATTTAATCTCCTCACTAACCCTCCCTTGCGGGAGGGGTCTAGCTAGACCGGCTGCCCTTGTCTGCTCCCTCTCTAGGACCACTCCATCCTGTCTCTACTTCCCGTGACCACGTGGTAGGCTCCTTCCCGCTGGGACCTGACCATACTTCCTCAGAGAAGTTCCCCCAGACCACTCAGCCAGCCAACTATATTTAGCCATCCTATTTTAATTCTCATAGTGACTTTTTTTTTCTTATTTATTTCATCTTTTTAACCAAGTGAACTACAATCTTCATCAGTGCAGGGAGGTATTCTGTTTTGTTCCCCACAGTGCAAGCATAAGGCTGTGCACCTGGCTGAAGTAGTGAATCATCGTGCTAAGGCTCTGAGCCTGTTTGGAAAAGCAGTGGGGTAGGGACAGAGAAGAGCCCCTGTCTTGTACGATGTTACAGAGCTAACATCTCACCTTCTTCCAGGCCAGCTTTCTTATTCTTTTTTTTTTTTTTAAATCCTTTATTTCTTTGGTACAGGGTCTTGCTATGTAGCTCAAACTCATAGTCATTCTCTTGTCTCAGCCTCCCCAGCACTGGGATTATAGGTGTGCACCACCATCCCTGGTTTCGGTACCCAGCATGGTGCACCAGGGGTTCTAGGGCCAGCATGGCATGCAGTATTGGGGATCAAACTGGCTCCTTGTGCTTGCAAGGTAGGTGCTTAGACCACCAAGCTATCTATCTCCCTAGCC